GGGTTCCCTCGTGAGGGCTTTTTTTTCGAAAAAATCCGAAAAACTTTATTTTTCGTCGAAAAATCCCTCAGGGGGACCACAGCAATGGCTTCACGCATGTCAAATTTTCACGTCAAGACCGTTTTCATTCGATCGTCATGCCTTTCAGCTCGCTTTGCATTCCTCATCTATTTTCTATTCCTGATTATGGGTATTTCTACGTGTCTTCATTGTCTGAGAGACTATGTTCACGTGACTCGTGCGGCTACGGCTTTCCACCCTGTAATCTCGGCCATTGCCACCAGTTCGTAGCTTTTCACGGGCTACAAAATGGGATATTAACCAACTTGGACCGCTACATCTTGACATGAGGACACCGGCGTCTTTCATGATAAAACTGGTTTTTCCACCAAAATCATTGAAATTCAAGCCAAATACATGGTAAAACTTGTCCAGAAAATCGGGGCTTTTACCACTTAGACGCGGTCCAGAGCGGAATAGTTTTGATAAAAGATGACTTCTCTCNAATCGAAAAGAGCTTCAAATCAGCTTTTTCCCCCTTGGTTTATTGTCAGCTCAAAGCTACAGAAATAAGAAGAAATTAATTTAGGGCTTTTCTTGTAAATTCTATAACTTTGCAAAGAAAGGTCCAGAGCGGAATAGTTTTGATAAAAGATGACTTCTCTCGATCGATTTTATAGTTTGGCATAGAAAGAAGTCCAGTTCCAATGGGAGACCGATTCCTGGTCTTATGCGCCCTCGTCCTTTTACTATTCACTTTTTGAAGTACACATAAGACTCGGATTTCGATCCGAGGTTTTCGCATTTATTTTATCTAGGAAAGGAAAACAACTCGGTAAGCAAATACCAAGATAGTCTGATTTTCGATCACCAGCTCCTTGTATTTTTATAGAAATAAGCAGAATTAAATATAAATAGTCCAATGTCATAGACGTTTCTTTATTCAAATGCTTTGGCGTTCTGTCTTAGCCATTCTTCAAATGTACGTAGTGGTCGACCAATAATAATGGCTATTTCTGGAGTGGTTGTTTCACAGATGTCTTTCGAAGCAACCATTGTAAAGTGGTAAACAAACGAATGAGACATTCCACTGCCAGTAACTTTTTTGTAGAAATCTTCCATCGATAATTGTTTATATACGATCGATCTGCCTAACACTTTGGAAAAAATAGCTGCTCGTTGTTCATTACTCAATTTCTCAGCACCCATGTCATAAACATTACGATCATGTTTTTCTACTGATTCACTCAAAACAGCTACAGCACAATCAGATATATCTTTTGTATCAATCCAAGTCATTGGCGACGAAGGTAATCCACAAGAGACAAATATATTTGAATCTTTGATACTATGAACATCATGCATAAAATGATTGGACATGAATGATCCGGGACGAAGTACAACCAGTGAACGTTGTTCAGGATTTTCATCAGCAAGTTTCCACAGCTTCTCTTCAGCTGCCGTATGTATGTATCCGATGATGCCTTTTCTACCATAACTGGTGACAAAAGCTGAAGAGAGATCAACAATTTGCCGAACACCTTGTTCAAAAGCGATCTTGGCAAAAGTTTCTTTGATTTCACTCATTGCTGTTGGCTTAGTGCCAGCAGCAGCAACGAGAAGAAAGAGACGAGTATGTCCTTGAATTGCTTTTGTAAATACATCGATAGACGAGTAGGTACCAACGACAAATTTAAGATGACCAGTTTTCATTTCATCTTTAAACATATCTTCAGCTTTCTGTTCGTCTCGTACATATGCTGTTGTGTCGATTCCTTTTTTAACAAGGCCACGCACAATACCACTACCAATATTTCCACTCGCTGCAGTCACAAACACACGTTCTTTGCTCGACGACATGTTAATGATCAGAATGAAAAGAAAAATATTTTCTATGTGTTTTTATAAAGAAGAGAAAGCATTATGCAATAACAAGGTAAA